TTTATCCTTCAGCTGTTAACATCTTACACATACATCATAAAACTGGAAGGAGGATTTGGACATCAAATCAACTGATATATCTTAATGTGATAGATTGATGATGCAGGTATATCACTATCTAGAAATGGAAAGTTTACATTAGCCGTTTCTGGTAGTTTTATTGTAAAAGAAGACCAAGGTAAAGAGTTGATGTTGAAGTGTCTTATATGTGTTTAATTTAAATTCTTGCGAGGATATACGATGGAACAGGTTAATTCTTTTGTTTTTAAAGGAAAGACTAAACATACCTTAAAGTTAAAAATGACGGAATTCGAATCGTCTTTGTAACTCTTCGATAAACTCAGCCTTGTGTGTAACCAAAAATAAGGCAACTAAGAGAGGAATATAGTTTGTTCCCTTATCTTTTAGAAGAACGTACCATCAATGTAAGTTAAAACTTTTATGGTAGATTGTATTCATACAAAATATGTATTTAAAGTTTGCAAACTTATTTTCAGGAAAAGTGTAATTATAAGAATATCAGAATTTCAATGCGTGATAGAAGATACTGGAGAGGTAAGAGTATGACGGAGTCATTATTGCAAATTTTGCAGAACATGAACGCCTCTTTTGAAGTATAAAATACATTGCTGACACAGAGGGGCGTTGCAGTGACTATGCTTGTAGTGTTTACTGGTAGTATTGTGGTATTCATATTATCATTAGAACACTTATATACAATCATTGACAACAGTACTCTATCAATGGCAAAATAAAAGTGAGGTGTATAGAAGATGATTTGTTTCAAACCGGTTTTTCTATTGTTATCTATGATGTATATTCACCTACAATTACCCTTAACTTCTGCAATAATGGTAGCAGTCATTCTCTCGCGTCAAGAACTTTCCTTTCATAGAAAAGTGAATGACGAAGAAAGTTTGCGATCATAAACTATAGTGTATTTCTTGAAAAGGATGTCTGTCAGAATGAAACTAGATCAATCAGTATCCTTGTTCAGCATGGAGATGTAAAATCCATAAATGAAGGATATACTATTAAGTTTGCCTAGTGGTTTGTTGTATAAAGTTAGTTCTGATTTCTATTTTTTGAATATGAAATTACTTGCATGGATTGATCAAGACCTGCATGGTGGGTGTCGTTGGTGAAGCAGAAAACGTTTACTTTTCCGAAACACCTGGTCTTACTCTGATTTTTTCAGCACTGTAGGAATCTTTTGTCTACAGCTGCTTGAGTGCCGTCAACTTTTAATTTGAATTCAGGTTTTAATAATGATAATAATAATAAATCACCAAGTAAATACCAACATATCACCTTAATCATTTTCCAAAATTAAATTCAATAAAACTAGGACAAATTTGAACAAAAGAAAAAATTACACAGAGACTCCTGAAAAAGTACAAGGAGAATAAGACCAGGTTTTCCGAAAGAGTAAGCGTCTAAATGAATTTTCATTGTTTCCTTGATTTTTAAATTGAAAACAATTCGTATATCAATGAAAATAATTGTTGAACTTCAAACTGCGCTGGTTGTATACTGCATTTGAAGTTAGAAACAGGCCATTATCGATATACCAGGGGTTATGCTTACTTTTGCTCTCTGCAACCCCTGCAGAATTGAAGTCCCATAAGCGACACTTTGTAGATAAGACAAGATGACTAGTTTGATCCTTTGATGCACATCAAACGAATCTCGAGGTCAACATGGTATGTTGTATACTGACTTTGAAGGTGTGTGACAGTGTGTTCGTAATCTTCAAAGCAGCGTATCAGTCTGTGATTGGTCAGTTTGTTTTTCTCCTGAAATCCGCACAGATCTATCAAATTACTTCGACTGTGTCGTCAATGTTCCAGGGGTGCACCTAGCGAATGTGAGCCTAATTCATGGAATATCGAGGGTGGAAAAAACATCCATATACACTCTTTGCTATATGCTCCACGTCAACACCTAAATAGTCTACATCAAGAAGACGACAGGTATTTCCCGCACCAATGAAAACGTTCGTTAGACTCATTATGATACGTCAATACAAATTTCGGCTTGGCCGTAAAAAGTGGAAAGTTCCTCTTACTTAAATACGTAAAAACAGTTTCCGCTACAAATTAAAAACATGAAATCATAAGTTATCAACTAGGTTTATACAGCCAAGAGATAAGGTCAGTGCTGTCACTTCTATGTGTGTGCTTTGGGAAAGTGTCATTAATTTTGTTAAAATATGCTATCAAATAAAGCTTATACTTTCAAAGTTCTGTTCAGGACCAAAAAAGTTATTTATTATCATTACATCTTGTATGTTTTGGTTGTAACTATCAAACATCATTGTGATAAAATATTTTCTGTAGCTAAATCCAACCAAATTAGATAGGATAATGTGGCACTTTGAGATTCTTTTACAGATGTGTTTATATCAAAGGTAATATTAAGAATCGATCAATGAAAAACGTTTGCGATAATTCATGTCGTGACATTCTCGTCCGCATGAGAAAAACACCAGGTAAGTACTAATTTATGAAATGAAAGAATCGTTAAATATTTTCTATTCTCTGTCTGTTGTCTGACATTTGCATTTATTGAAGTTTTGAAAATTCCTTATAGTGAAAGGAAATTTTTTTAAAATAAATGCTGTGATGCCTGCAGTTTTATTGACAGGCGAAGAAAGAAAACTATTTTATTCTTATCATCGCACATGTAATTGACGTTGTTCTTAAATTATCAGATTAACGAGAATTAAGAAATTTATTAAATTATTTGGCTAGTGTACCTTCTCGGCTAGATTTTGCCTTTCTTTCGATCGCGCCAAAGCTTAAAAATTAGCCCCTTAGATTCACTGACGAGTCCTAGACGGACGAAACAGCTGTATGACGCAGTTTAATTCATTGTAAGACTCCACTGTATCTCACTCTAATTTGTTAATAGGTGTTATTCACTTGATAATGTGTGGTTTTTTTTTTCAACTTTTAAAGAATTTTCGTGTATTAATTCTTTGCATAATTTTCATCCGTTTCATCGATTTTAAATTTTGATAATTGTTTTGTTAACATATTTGTATTTTGTTGTTGTCAACAGATAAAAAAAGACATATCCATATTAAGATTGTTTTATTCTTACATTAAGTATGACTTCTACACAATGCCGGGCCCAATGGTGAATGATTGGTGATGAATATGTTCAATGAGGACATGAAAACATTGTCATGATAAAATAAAAAGCTTATGCATGGAATGTATGGTCATGTTGGTCATTTAGATATGAAACATTTGTAAAATATCAGTAAATACTATTCAGTGAAATCAGGCCAGCCAAGACTTCCGACATTACGTAACGTTCAATTTTCGAACGGTTATACAAAATAATGAATTCAATTTAGATTATTTTCTGTACAAACCATGTTCGCTCTAACGAGGTTTCACTAAATACAATACAAAATATCACTGAAATTTCTCAAAAATATTTTGATTTTACATCATTTCCTTTCATCATTTTCACAAACAAAACTTTTCTTTTTGTATTTTTTCCTGAAAGATAAAACTGAAAACTAAAAGTAAGAATTTCTTTTAAATACTGGAAATAAGTGCACGAGACGTTGCATAGATATTGTACAAGCAGAACGCTGTGGTCATGCGATATTTTTTTCATAAAACTAGCACCTACATCCCCAGCCTGTGTTTAATGGCACACGTACTGTGAGTTATCGAGATTTGGCGGTGTTGATATTTTCGCTTTAGTAATACCGGAGAAATTATCACGAGCTTATACAAAGGATTACTATTTTCAGCTAAATCTGTTCTTTTCTAATTTTAGTATTATATCAGTTTAGAACGGTTCTTCTGAGAGTAAAATTTAAGATGTTTGCAACAAAATATTATCAATAAATATCAATAAGGTTGAATTACTTTATACTATGTATCGTCAAACGCCAATATTCTCCCTTATAACACTATAATATATAATGGTTTAATAAAATGAGCCATTAATCATTTTATATAACCCTGTTATATTATTTTTGGAATGTATAGTTAACTACAGGAAATAATATTTAATGGTAAGTATAAGTATATAATACCCACAGATAATTTCTGTGTTGATATGACGTCACAAAAAGTAGAAATGCTCATAAATAAAAAGGTAGTATATGCGTGAGACATTTATCTCATAGAAATTGAGACATTCATTTTTTCGGAGTTTTGCTGTTATATAAAACAAAATATCATATACACTAGACTGAATTTAAATACGAGTATAAACAAACACGGCAGTATATTTTAATGTTTTTGCTCGTTATAATAAGCTTGATTCTATAAATTTACTTTTATTTAGACGCATCCCCTTGTACAGTCCCTATACATATAAATGATTAACTTTGTACCCAATCTTACTTTAAGGCGTCTAATCAGGCGAAGTGTAATCACGGCGAAAATCAGACTAATTTCAGACCCTTTAAAAATAATATCTGGATATAAAAATATGAATTGAAAGACATTTGTGTGTATTTTCTCTCTTCCGTCTTTCATGCAATTCAGTCTCGTGCCAAATCACGTGATTTCAATATTGACAAAAACAATCACGAGATTGTGCTATCCTCTATCATTTCTATATTTTATGGTATATACATATTTATATGTATAGATTTGCAAGAACACAAGTGCATAATGGCATTTTATCAATGATAACGAATTCTTGTACTGTTCAAAACTTCCATGGAAGCCAATATAATATCTGTTTTTCGGGTTTCGAGTCCGGTACTTTCAAATGTTTATAAGTGACAAGTTTCCTTTATGATAATGTAAATGCCATAGGGTATTATATCATACGACACTATCAGTACTAATTTCAGAGTCCTCATTCTGAAACCATGTAACATACAGCACAAGTACATCCGCACTAATACATGTGTAACTCCTGACATACACAACGTACACAAATTCCCTCAAGGTCCTCTTGCGCATGTTCACACAATACATAAATCCGTTCACGCATGCGTATTTCCACTTTATCTCAATCGATCACCGAACATTCTTTGGTGTTGAGGGAAGTCTCCTGGTACCACTAGTTCCATTTGTCATAGTTGGTGTGGTTCGACCCGAGGGGGTTGACCTTCCGGTGAATGTGGGTGTTGTCCGTCCTGTGCGTGTTGGAGTTGATGTTTTGGGGGTAGGAGTCGTTGCTGTTCTGTTTGGAGTTCCCGATGGACGGGAAGATGATGTCGACCTAGGGGTCGGCGTCTTTGAACGTGAAACATAAGTCGGAGTAGGTTGAGGAGTTGTCGACCTTGATATTGTATTGTTTAGCCGAGATGGCGTCGATGGGTTGCGCGAGCGCGAGCTAGACGGCGAGGTTACATTCGTGGTAGAGGTGCTTAATCGCTTCGTTCTTGTGAGACTTCCAGTTGACCCTAAACCAAGAAATATTAACAAAATACTTAGCAATGGTATTCACTTTGTTATTGTAAAGTATTTTATCTTTTATTTTCAAACAATAAGAAAAAGGGCGGACATTTTGACTAGATGAACTGTGATCCAAACGACCACGGATAGAATATTCCAATATAGGAGCAAAGAACTTATTCAAACAGACCGAACAAATGTAATGATGTGATGTATAATCAACATTACTGTCCGTCTCTCTATCGGCACAGATAACGATACATCAGCCTCAGTTACACTATCGGTCTAAAATTGCAACTTCAAACGGGAAGAAAAAATAGCTTAATGTTGTCATCTGATCAGTTTTTCTACTGTATATACGACGTAAATGAATTATTTGAACAAGAGCTGTGATCAGTTTGTATAAAAAAAACGTAAATTACTTCCTGACTATCTAGTCATTGTAATACGACTGTACAAAAAGGGAAATAATCGACATATATCTATATTTCATGAGCGGAACAAATTGGTATTAGCAAAGTATACTGAATATGTTGGAACTCTATCAGGGTGTCTGAAATAATATCAAAACATTATTATTTAGCATGTTAGACATCACAATGATATATAAATAGTAGGACAACTAGACGACTGAATACAAACAGAACAAATATGACCAGCATGTGAAGGTGATGTGGGAGGGAATGCAAGGGGGGAGGGGAGGCACGTGCGAAATTAATTATCAGTTTATAAAAAACATGTGCAAGGTGCTGTTACATCAAACACGCACGTGCAAATGACAATAAACGTAATGTATCACTTAAAAGAAATAACGCAAGAAATTCAAATCGAATATAGCCACTGTTGATTCAGAATCAATCACATAGGGAATCGATAAGTTGGAATCATATATCTTTCTTTCGTAAATCATGTCATTTGGTAAAAAATAATACTGATGTAATCCTAATACCAAATAAGGCGAACAACGTCATGCACATACTGAACACCTTTAACATCAAGATCATACATAAACATGCTTCTTTTCACCTAAACCTTCTCATGCAAAAATACAGTACAAAATTACATGACATCGAGCAATACTGAAACACTCATAAAGCATTTCAAAACATGAAAGGCAATTCAAATTTTATTTTCTAATATCTTATATATTATGTAGTATATAAAGTTATGTAAATTAGAAGATAATATAAAGAAGCTGGTACGGGAAATTAAAAAAGCTTATTGTCAACATTGTGAACTATTATTTATGTATATTTCAAATATTAAGTTTGGGTGATTGCTAACTAGCGAATTAAACCATACCACCAAGTTACAGCGAACTACTAAATATCTGTGATACGTATTCTCCTCTAGCATTGGTATTGCTCATAAAATGAATATCTTGAAACACCTTAAGAATTCTGCGAAAAGTCATAATTTTTGTTCACCTTTCATGTGTTTATAAGCTTTTACCTGACCGAAAGCACGTGGATCTGCATGGAATGATGATGAAACGTCTGACCCAGAATTTAGAATTTTTTATAACTACTGATGACATAGCACGTGTTCTACATGTATCTTTAATGTGTATACTACCAAATTGTTTGTGACGTCTACCTTGATATCCCAAAATATGAACAAATATTTACATAGAAAGATCCTGCTGCACTTTAACTGATGACATGTGTAATATTGAATACAACTCATAATTTGAACGGAAGCATTTTTTTCTCTTTATCGTTTATACTTAAGGAAATCTAAATTCCATAAAAAGTATTTCATTCTAAAGCAGATTGGTTTATTTGCTTGGCTAGATAACCCCAAATTTCACGCCTTTTCATTTGTGGAAAAAATTGTAAATAGATAAAACGATGATTAAAATGTTCTCATAGCCGGGTCAGACTTTCATATCGTCATTCCAAGTGCGAAGGTATTTTATTTAATTGGATCAGACCATCCACATACCAAAGTCTGCGTTTTTGTGAATCCGGTTGACTGAGGGCGAACCACCTGCCCCAGAAAGATTGATCATTGAAGAAGTCACCCTACTTCGGCGCAACGAACGGTCCCCAGAACTTCCGGCTAGAAGAGAGCAATGTCATATTGTACCGTAGTAGTTCATCTACGATACAAACGTTTAAAGGATGTGCATGTCTCTACGTTGTTCGAATGTCTTCCATAGAATGTAAGTTTACCAAGCTGTGTTGATTAATACGTGTACAGGGGGTAACCACTCACCATTAATTATGCATCATAATCTTTGCCGAAGACGTGCTCATGGGACCAGATAACATAAAAAGGTAATACATCATGATTTGTTTCTGTTTTCATAGCCTATCAGCTACAGACAGGAAAATAAAGCACAAACGTCAAATGTTTCTCTTCTAGCAACTGATTTCAAACTCAATGCAACTTTAAAAAATACTTTTTTAAATACTTATTTTTGGATGAAATCGTAAAGCACCTAGCAGTTTCACTGCGCAACACACACAGAAGTGATATGTTGGATTTGAAAAGATGTAGTACCTCTTTCAACTAAGAAATACGCTCCTCGCGTTTTGTTAATCATTAGTGAAGTTTAGTCCATTTTTCGACCTGTTGAATGTTAGTCTATAAAGACTGTTTGGTGCAGCCGATACTTGTGTGTGCTTATAGTAATGGCATGTTGGATGTACAATTAGAATTATCACATGTTAGGCGTGAAACATACACAGAACATTTAACGATGAAACACTTGATTCTTTCCGATACCAGAATGTTGAAAAGATTAATAGAAATTTAGATAAATCAGCTAGGCGAGACCCCTCTGTAATTATCTACTCCTTATCCCCAATTTATTTCCTGTTACTTCAATTAATGAAAAATGTTAAACGTTCTTTAACATATTATGCGGTAAAAGATGAAGTAAAATGAATTATATAGTATATACGAATCTTAGTTTATATAATAAATGATACGACAGCATTAAACCTACACAGAGTATGATAAAATATTAGCGTTTCAACATTAGCGAAAAAATATTTCAAAGCTAAATTAAACGTTGTGTATTAGCTATGTAGCATTTAAAGTCAATACTAAATTATGTTTTATTATCATTTTAGCAATTACGTATCAAATTCACAAAAGTATTATTCAGAAATATATATGGCATGCCCACTAGATACCCATTGGCAACGTATTTAATATCTATTAACTAAGTAAAAAATATTAACTATCTACGCTAAAAATATGGAAATATAAGTAAAAGTGAAATAAAAACTAGTTTACATCAATTATATTCTAATTAGCAGACAATATGGATCAATGAATATAATTTTGAATATTAATAAAATTGTAATGAGTGTAATAATTTTCTTAAATATTTGTCATCGATTAAAAGTAACAATTCAACACGCAAAGATACAATACTTTTGTGAATTGATAATTGAGTATTAAAGAATAGATATGAGATGAAGAAACACTTTACTGGTGCGAGGTCGCCGTACTATCCAACGGACATCTATAGAAACAAAGAAAATCACGTTTCACTACCTAAGTCTACGTGGTATACCTGAGGAGACCGACGAAGCATATCCCGTATCGTTAAGTTTGGACTTATAGCCAAACGTGCCACTACCCTTTCGGGTCCGGAAACTGGTCTGTCCTTCTGGTGAGAGGGTGTCCCTGAGGTCAAAATTAGTTCGTCCTTTTGCTGTGGATACAGAAGTTAGTATATCCGTCACCATGGTTACGAGCGACCATTTTTGGTCGTATCACTATCACCTTTTAGACAACCGTTTGAGAGCATTTGTATTAACATCAGTGAAACAAAAACACCAAAACGATTGTTGAGTAATCAATTGTTATTCTTCTGTCAGTTACTCTTTTAGATAAAATTTTATCGCAGTATATATATTAATCAATTTTGGTGTTCAATGCTTCAGTCTCAGAAGGTTGCAGTAGACCTGAAATAAAGGCTACGATGCACATCACATTTCACCATTACCTGAAACAGGATCGATTTAAAACAAGATGCGTTTGAAAATTAGTTTTTCCCACCACGTTTCAATATTAACTCGTTAAACATTCGACCTAACAGATGCAAGTCTGTTTCATCAATCAAATCATTGGGTGAAACATCCAACCGACACCGATCGATTTTGGAAATGGAACTCTCCTCATTTTGGAGGTACTTACAAGTTGAAGTTGAGGGATATATTACTCTTTCGCCTGTTGAATGACACATCAAGTTAGTGAAACAAGAAGCGACAGTTAAATCACAACGTAACCCAATTCCCAATCAAGACAGTAATCTTGTTGTAATTAACAGCAAATTTTAACGTGTATACAAATAACAAAATATTGAAAAACAAGATAAAAAATGAGTTTAGTATATCGACAACGTAAACAAACAGTCACTGGCGTATGGCACGTGAAAAAGTAGCATTAAAATAGTTTATTGAAAAGGCGATATCATACGGCAAAGTGACCGTAATAATATGTCTTTGTATATATACAATATGTAAGTAATGGATATAATCAAAAGCAATTTGCTTCGAGCTCTGTGTTAGAGAGGTGTTTTCCGGTTACTGTATTTAATGAAGCAAAGCAAGTGTCCAAAATTAATGTTTGGTAGACTCTGTTATATCAACACACGAACTGTTATGGTAGATTTAGGACGCGTACATCAAAGACATATTTATTGTTTACACATGGAGACGACAATTATGTTACAGAATGTTATTGCAATTCAGTCCCAAATAAATAATACTGAAACAAAATATAACAAGTGAACAAAGTTTGTAATCTAACATAACTAGAATATCGCGCAACGGGAAAAGGTACAGGAAAATCAAGAAATGAGTTTACAATATTAAAAATGTTCCTAAATTCGATGCATTAACTTCCTCCTCAACCAGTTACTTTAAAGAACAATATTAATGAGGATGGATTTTTTTAAAATAAATTAGATAATATATCGACAACTTAGTCATGAAAAAGTGGTATTCTAAGAGTAGAATATTATAAATGAATTATGAATCAATTTATACACGGTATCATCCATCTTGCATGTCAGTATTCATGAATAATATGTAAATACAACGTACCTCGACACGGGTCATTTGTTTCTAAGAATTCATCTAGTGTGACCCAGCCTCCGCCAACTCGCACCATCACTGTACTGTTGAGGAACCGCACAAGTCGTATGTTCTGTTTCTCACCAAACTAAATTGAAAAAATGAATCAAACTTCATTTTTTTATCTAATGGCATTCATAAACATGATTTTCCTTTTACAGATACATCTATAAATTGTATATTGATACTAGTATCTAAGTGTTACTATAACCATACCCTGTACTTTCCCTCTGCAAGCCTCTCTGCTCTGAATGGGTTTCTACACTGACAGCCAGATATTTCTTTCTCAATATTATCATGGATCAGTTCTGCATCCGTCATCTGCCGGTTACTGCTGTTCAGTCGTGTCTTTTGCTGCAATATATCCGCCAATCTTTTATTAGTATACAAAATATCAGTTGTCAGATTATTCATATCATGAAACTCATCTACTTTTTTTAATCTTAATTTAACAGGAAATACATTTTAGATGTTTCATTTATCTAAAATTTATGGGTCGTTGCTTTTTAAGTGTATATAAACTGAATTGCTCACGACAGTTATTTTGACGCTCAGTTTATTCGATCTTTTTTATCGCTATTTTTAGAAATTGGTTTGTTCTGGACTATATCTAATAAAGCCGATAAGAATTAAGCATAAAATATTTTTCAATGACAATAGTTTATCATAATCAGTTCTACGTAAAAGTGTTGATCCAATTGTAATATATATATATATATGTATGTATATAAGCCTTTACTCGATAGAGGTTTTAATTGTTATTTCCTCTAAAAGAAATAATATCTTCAAAGCAACAGAATGATTTGGAACAAAAAATGTCACCACATTGAATCATTGCTGCATTAACAATTGACTTGCAAGGTTTATCGTTTTGAGCTCTATGATGTATTGATTTTGAATGAACGCTAACTTACATGTCGTGTAGGCTTTAATGCTTCAATGAAATCTTTGTATTCTATTACGTCTCTTCCATCTCGATCAAAAATATCGAATACTGCGTGAAGCTCTGTCCGGTTAGTAGGGAAGCCTGCAAGAAACGTTATTCACAAATTGACATTTTTTCTTGAATTTAATATTTAGAGTCATATGACAATATAAGATAACCCTATTGTAATATCATTTTCTAACAGGAAGTATTTGTTTGTCCTTAATGTTTACGCACAGGATTGATCTGTTCTTGTCGTTGCTTGAACTTTGATAATGCCATCTTGACAATAAATTTGGTTTACATGTTCTATTACAAAATGTTAAGACATATTCTATGTTTAATTGACTACTTACGTGTAATCAGCATCCCGTTGACGAAGTCATCCCTGAGTAATAATCCATCACCGCGCTTATCCTGGCGTCTGAAAAAATCTGTTATCCGCATCTTTTTGGCTTTAATCCAATTCAAGTACTTGGTCTTCCAAACACCAAAGTCAAACGTTTTAAAGCTTTCCAACTGTAAAGCAATTTTAAAATGCGGTTGAAATGTTGCATAATATACGGCTTGGTGTAATAAATGCTTGATGTTGAAAGTTTTCATTAAACTAACAATTTTTATCATATATATACATATATATTCATGATTTGATATATCGCTCTGTTAATGCTATATTTCGGTTTGTGTGGCTGTCTTTGTCTTTTCCAATGTATTGAAAATTAGAAATGGTTCCATATAGACTGACGGTTTTATATTTTCTTTATTTTTACTTTTACGACACGACTTTTTTAAAATTGAATCACACACTGACTGCGACCGTTACATGACCTACCTCAAGAAGAGTGTCCAGAGCATCCTGTAGGTTCTTCTTCCGGTCAACGGACATGCGCCATACAATCCTCCATTTGTTTTGTAAGGTTATTACCCGTGGATTGAAGATGTCACTTTCATTTAGCTTCATGTTGCTAAAAATATATTATGTTAATTTATATAAATAGAAGCTGATGATAATCCTGGAAATGTACTTCTCTGAGCGCACAAGTTTTCATGTAATTAGTACAAAACAAAAGACCATTGCAGACCCACATCTGTCGTGACGTTTGCAGCACATAACAAACATTATGGTTACTCTTAATATACTGCAAGAGGTTTTGAGGGAAATATTTAGATTCATGTTTTATAAAAAGATAAATCTATAATTCGATATTTTGCTGTATACTCTATATATTTATGTATCATTTGTTATCTTACCTGCCGTGAATACGTCCGGGGGACTTCGGCTCCGCGTTTATAATTTTGGTTAATCTCTCTACATCGTTATTTTTACTTGTAATTTCCTCGTGGAATTCCTACAAAAGAACACCATATCATCAAACCAGATTCATCACCATTTATTAAGTAAGCCGAGAAAGTAAAATGTAAACGATATCAAAAAGACCACGTGATACAGACTTTGAATGATCTGAACTTTACGATGTAAGTAACAGATTCTTACCACATGATCCTTGTAAAGATCGTCTACAACTTTCAGGTCATCTGGTATGGGATCCCTCTCTTTGGTAGACAACAGGACCTGGGCATCTGTTAGCCAAGCCAAGAGATCTTCCACAAGGGCGGCGTTGCCTTGGATACTGCGCAGTGCTTCCTGTAACCTCTGACCCCTGTTCTTCGCACGTTGCAGTAACTAAAACGGGACGAAATTTTTTTGTAAAACTCAACCTCGTAAGAAAGGTTATATTTTGTTTCAGGTCAATAATTAAAACAATAAAAACTACAACACTGTTGGTCTTACCTGGTCCCATCTTGTTTGTGTAATGGTGAGGTAATATTTCACGAATCGTATGGCATTTGGATGACAGTTTTGTAAAATTTCTTCCGCTAAAAGTTTTATTTTGTCTACACATTCCTGATGATTCCTGAGATCCTCTTGAAATTTCTGAAAAAAGACAATTTATGAGGAACAGTAGAATTAAATGATGAACTGAACTGTATCATTTAACTGCTTCTTTCTTTTAAGACTTGTCAATGAGGGTAAGAGCCGAAATTTTGAAACCTAGGATCGACTGAAATGTCAAAATCGAGATGGTAGGTGTAAAGCCTTATTAATTTTAAGAAAAAGAAAAAACATCAGAACAAATCTCAATAAATACAAACATTTCGTTAAAATATCACTAAACCTACCAACTTTTATTTATGGAAGTTAAGTGACGTTCTTACCTCGTGCTTCTCGATTAACTGAATTATTGCCACCTCATCATCGGGAAGCGCTTTATACTTAAGTTCAGCTTCAGCCTGAGGCAAGAACTCCCTCATCACTTGGACAACATCTTGGAATTCCTCCGCCTAAAAATGAAAACAGTTCCAAATTTAGTTACAATTTGCTGAAATACACTGACAAAGCGAAGGGATGTTTGCTTTACGGTCTTTGTATCATAGAAGTTGCAGGTTATCTACCAGTGGAAGAGTATGCCAGTATTTGACATCAATCAAATGAAGGTAGATGACAGAAATTGTAACAAAACGATTCAAGATTTGTGTTTTCTTCCTTATCATGTTGTAGCATTATCATGTACCTGAAGAATTCTGACATTGACATATTTCGTGAGGAGCCAACTATTTATCTCACAGCACTATATTCTGACCAGTGAGGATAGCATACATTCTCCAGGTAAATGATAAGATACTGATGTATATTTACCAGTTGAAGTGAATCACGCAGTTTGTTTTCACGGTGGTCACTGAGCCTGTTGACCCGATCCCACGTGCTTTCCAGCTCCTCAAGGTGTGCGGCTGATACGTTCCCGGCAGCCTTCATTGCTGCTACAGTCTGTTCCCGAGCCCCTAATTCCTGTTGCATACCCTTGATAAGAAAGAACGTCGCATTAACCAGATGTAATAAAGCTAAATTATTTACGTGACCATTGTTACGGAATAACAAAACATAAGTTAACGTTATCTATTTTAGACGAAATTCATGACTGCATATATTAGACATATATCTATATAAAATCATATTACATATAAATCTACTTTTAGGTAATAGGCAAGATATTTGAGGGTCAAACTATAGCAATTTTCTATGACTGTTGGACTTTTGTAGTGACACATACGAATAATCCAATGTCCAAATTGCAACGTCTGCATTACTGGTATTTGGATTAAAAGCAGATATAATGCCATGAACATTTGCCATGTTCTAATGTCTACGGTACATATTAGAGGTCAGAGAGTGAATAATACACATATGAGTCAGTCAGGACTGGCGTAAGTGATGTCCAGTCAGCAGGTAACAGTAAAATTAATTTGTCGTAGAAATGTGCTATTACGATGTCAATCAAAGGACAATTACACGGCCAATTGTCCATGCCCGAGGCCATGGCCTTAGAAGACCTGTCTGAAGTGGTCAAGCACGTGCCCTGCGTACATACAAGCTATTAGACTCCTACAAACGTTTACAGTGGTAATTTTGATATATATTTTGATAAATAATAATACACAGGGATATTTATGGCACATTCTCTTAAGCCGATGTTTACCTTGTGCTGCTCAATGAGCATATGTATGGTATCCAAATCGCCTAGGACGGGCTGGTCCTCCGCCAGGGTGGCTTCCGCCTTGCCCAGCCATTCCAGCAGTGACGTCAGAGCGTCCGTCACCCGCCCCGACGTTAGTAACGCCTCGTCCAGCTTGTTCTGGCTGAAATAACAAAACACGGAAAGTCATATTACTGACCAGTGGCAGAAATGCAATCGAACTTAGTGTCATGATAAAATAGTATGCAAGTGTGTTTCACGAGCGAACGTATTGGCATTCAGCGGCTTCTGTCTTGATACACTCTTTATTTATTATCTATCCGATGAAGCAGAAGAGCTTGTTCTTCCGGAACATATGGTCTTGTTCTATTTGTACATTTTCAGAAGTAACTCATTTCAATATTAATAAAATACACGTACGTATTTATATATAAATATTTTGGTACGGATTTGTTGATTTCTCTGTTAGTCTTATTCCCTCTAGTTATTTCCAAAATGTCCCATCGTTCTACCCCTATCCTACTCTCCACGTATCCTAATCTCTCCCAAACACACCATCCTTATACCCAATAAAAGCAACATTCTTTAATGCAAACACCGGTCAGGATATATCTTACAACATACCCCTGTGATAGGAGGTCAGAACAATCTTCAGTATGATAATTCTGACCTGTCGGTATACGTGAAGTATAGGTCAAATCACATGTTAATACCCGGTTCATCTACCCCCATTACACTGAAAGTATATAATTAACTCTGGCGTGTTTCAATAACAAGGGGGTTGTTCGATGTTTGGGGAATTTATCCGCCAATCACCTATATAAATATCACGACGGTCAACCCAAGTCTGGTATGGTGTTCAAGTTATTGTATCGAGGAAAAGACGCTTATTTGACAAGATTAGACTTAACTTAAATATCTACTGACTTTGCAAAACCCTAATTTCGGTTGGTTTTCCCCACTAACATGTATGACTATACAATATCAGTTCTGCGAAGAAATCACTAAAATACAAAGAGACATGTACAAGCTAATTTTACATAAGTTATAATTATTCCTGGTAACCATCCAATCATATGAATGTATGTTACTGCTTAAAACGTTCACGACCTCCTGCATGTCTTGATGAAACACTCAACTATACGAACTTTTTCAACAGCGATTAAAAGTTATTTATCAACCACAAGAAACATACGATTTGAGTATACCTAAATGAATACGCGTCTACGTCACTAAAGAAGTGTTCTTACCTAAAACATGTAGAGAACAAACCGAGAGAAAGACAACGTGTTAAATAACTTGAAAAGCTCCTTTAACGTACATGATACATTATAGGGTAACTAATGGAGTATGCTCTACCCTCGTAGTCCCATATTCATTAATTACTATGTCACTGCTGTGCACCTTCGTAGGAGCAATGAACGGTCTCAGATTCGGCAGTTAAAATACTTGGATTCAGATTTCACTTGGAGACACAGCAACAAAAGCAATTTGGAATGTCAAGCCAGTGGTGTACAAAATTAAGAGTTTTAATAGGCTATTTCCTGTTTGACAAAACTTTTTAGACAATGACTTGGTAGACAGTGTAAGTGATCAATGTCAATTCGATACCACGTGACCGTGATATTTCTTGTATTTAAGCCAGCTAGATAAACACCAGTAAGACGATATTATCAACATGAAGATCTTAAATACCTATAAAGTTGAGATCGGAACAGATTAGAACCTAGTACGTTCTTAATCTAGGGATACAGACTTCGTGGTCATGATATCAGTAATCTGCATAGAAGGAGATAAATGGAGATTTATGATGTGTTTTAGCTCGATGGTCCTTGTCATCTTTGATCTAAATTTAAAGTTCGTTTATATATTTCTGAAGCTTGCATAGAATTCTTGTTCAAAAATGAATACCCAATGGGGCTGTAAGATTACGATGGGAACTCATTCAGTTCTTTTATTAACTGTGCTTCTACAAACGGATCAGAACAATTAAGAAATCAGGAACGGTGTGACTAGAGACTAGTACATAGTTTGGCACCAACTTTATTGATTTTAATATCAGTCTGAAACATCACTAGAGATAATCATTACTGCTGCCATTCTTTTGTTTTTATGCGAACTTTGCATTCCTAACTGTGTCCTACTTGTGTTCTGACACCGCAGTGCATTTTTGACACAGGCTCTGGTCCCATATAGGATGAACCTATTTACAAATAGTCACGGCCCCATCTACATTTATACACTGACTCACCTGTGTAAGTCTCACCTGTATGACTAGGTGTACGACCAGGTGTGTGATTGAACAGACGTTTGATCTTTTCCGTTAGCAGTATAAACTTCCCCCTATTTTACATTCCACAATTGTCATGTTTAAAATTCCCCCATCGTACACAATGATGTTGAGATGCTCGAAAATGGAACAAACAGTCAAAAAGCGATACCATGAAACACCGGTTAAAACCAGATTACGTGAACAATATGGCACACATGACAAAAAAGAGTTCTGAAACGCATTTATAGGTATTGGTACATGTACGATACGTGTTAACAAAGGATGAATACAATATAATGAGACATTTTAAATTTTACTAACGTATACTATTTAAGTACCTTTCCATTCTTACTCTTGGGCTAGATAAGGTCTTCAAGTTCAAATGGGGGTTTTGTTAATTCGTGCCATATTGGCAACAACAGTTATTCTGAATTGTTGGCACTTGGGTGACTGCATAAATACACCAAGAACATGTGTCACTAACCTGTATGATCACGAGTCCAATTATTGGACAAACTTGGCATTTTACACCCTACACAAAGGGGTCAAAAGGTTCAATATTACTCAGAAATACCCAGCGATTTATATTGCACAAATATCTCATTTTTATCAATATTAAGTTATCAGATATATCAGATGATAGAAAAACCAGAATCGATAAATGTCAATAAAGGTAAATCTGGACAATAAATACGGGGAAGGCACTAAAATCAATGGTTCCTGCACCGGATTTTGTACCGCTGATGACGTGTTCCATCTAATCTAGAAATCTCTACAGATCGTTGACGATCAATTAATGTAAACGTCTAACTTTTTATTACTTAACTGTTTTTATCTGGTAGTTGGAAATGAGATGTTCATATGTTTTTCCAAATTATTACATCACATAATAATATAATGATCTTAAGTTTACATTCCACATCTCAACATCTTAACAACCTCGTGGAGAATGACATTTCATAATAAGAAGAAAAATCCCTTAATGTTTATAACATGATATAGGTAGATGTGATTAAAACACAAATCTATCCAGAATGCTTATTCTTTAATTTCTCTTTTGATTTTAAATCAGAGCAAGATACTTATTCCAAGTCAGGTAAGCGTATTGCTGGTAGATTTTACCTGTAGACTTAGTGAAATGTCATTACTGGAACGAATACATCAAATTATCGGCTACCTGTCAGATATTTAATCCTGAATACACAGCAGGGCTAGCTTCAAGCCAGACAAATTGATGATATAAACATTCAAATGTATGCTCAGAATTATTCCTCTTTCTGTATTTTACCTCATCACCAATGTTTACAATACTCTTTCACCTGTAGTATAGTACCATATGGATTCCTGTCGTATTTATATAGTGCTGTAATGTGGACTAACAAACAATTTCCGATGTCCATTTCTCTGCATATGAATAACAAGCTGCAAAGTCCAAAGTCGAACTAGGAGATAATTTAATACAGATTCATATGCCAGTTTGTTTTACGAGTATTTTTGATTCTATAAGCCCAGGTGTGAACAATTTTGTACGCTTAAGCTACCTTACGTATGTATGGCAATATTTACTACAATCGATATCTCCCAGCTGCCACTTGACGTTATCGTCTGCTCCAATAGTAATCTCCCGCCATAATTCCCCGTGCATATGAATTATGCACGAACGATACGGCATTATTCCTAACTCGGCATGCTACCGTAGTGTGTTGTAATCTTACGTTCGCGACATTGGTAAGTTTATTACATTATATACAATACATAATTCAAATTTGTTATGATATGTAATACACGCGAAAAGAGTATGCTAACTTATGCAATGACAAAATCCCGCCTTTGAAAGGACGCTATTGAAGATGAGTGGAGTGAAACCCTTTATGAATATATTTAGAAGAAATCACCTACAACTGAAGTGTGCATAAAGAGAGAAAATAGTCACCCTAAATCTTACCTACTATACATATTACACCTTGTATTTTCACAAAGTAACACCTGCCTGGTAAATGTTTTCATGCTACCTTATAAAGTGTTTTAATTACGATCTAGGTAAACAGAGATCAAACAGTACATTTAAGCTTCTCAAGGATCAGACAGGTAATCCCTGTATCATAATTGGATTAAGAAGTCCTATTCAAAGTACAGGTTATGTGTTCTGTTCCTCTGTGCAAAGCCTGACTGAATGGTTTATACAGACATTGGGTTATAATTACATTAACGCGACATAACCAGCAAGTACGATGGGACGAGCCAATGAACCAGAAAATAACACTCACCGTCAGAAAGAAATCACCATAGTTACTCAACTACATGAGTGCATTACGACCGCACCTTTGTTGCAACTCCGGTAGTAGAGTTACTTATACGGAAACTTTCATTTTGTCGATGTCCTTATTTGGATAAAGTATAGTGTATGTATACAAAAACTGATAGGTTTAGATATATGAACTGTACACATGTAAAATATAGGTGAACTGAGAAACATATTTTGTAATCATATTTATACCTGTCGATTACAAGTACCTAGAATACAGTACAAAGGTAAAGCTCAATGTTACACCTGTTTGACTAGTAAAGCACACGTACAGTTATCTGAACACGACGCAGACGGACAAACATAATTCCACGACATGGCGGAAAGATATCCGCCATATCACATGTTTATGTGTAAGCGGACTGAGAGATGCGACCAACTTACCTGGGAGCTACAAACGTCAGTCGCGGAATCTGTGTCTGATCCCATTCTCCATTGTTTACATCGTCCCCATCAGGTAAATCCATGACCCATGTAAGGGGCTGTGCACTAACTGTTGGCCCCTTTTAGGGTACCATCAAGTATATAACGAGAAATCCATGAGAGCTATTTAAAGTTAAGATGGCCCCGATGTTTTCACACACAC